TTTACCAAATGTGAAGCTACAAATCGGAGAGTTTAGGACATTTAGCTAAATTTTAAGTAAATGCTGAAGTAGTCTCATATCTAACTTCATCATTTGATCCACTAATATAAATAAATTAAAAAATATATTTTATCAAACTTAATAAATGTAAATATAAATTACAATTAATTTAAAATAAGTAATTTTATTTATCAATATAAGAAGCAAATAGAATTTTTAAATATATTTAATTGGTAATTGTATTTTAATTTCCAAATTAATATGTAGATTTACCCTAGTTATAATTTTAAGATAGAAAGATTAGGGCAATTTGACAATCCAGAGCTAAGGTTTATGATAGATTTTTCAAAGTTGACTTTAAAACTAATTTAAAATATATTTGCAAAAAAAATTAATACATAAATAGGAAAGGATTTCAATTTTTTGATAGCAAATAGATGATATAATAATAATAATAAAAGCTTTTTTTAACTTTATTTGAATGTAAAATATATTTTAATAATAAATTCAAACTTATTTTGTTTAAATAAATTAAAATAATTTATTTTTAATCTTAGTTTAAATGATTGAAATTATTAACAAAGTTAATGTAAAAACAAAATAGTTTATATTTCATACTAATATTCCAAGTCTAAATACTCAAGTTTTTAGTAGCTTCCTAATTCAGATCCAATATATTAAGCAAACTCTTCATCGTTTTAATATGATTAGCTAGTTTGATAATTTAAATAGATAAGCCTTTTGAAAAAATAATAAATAAATACTTACAAATTACCAATAAATTTTTGAAGTTTAGGTATGCTTCTTAAACTAGATATTAAGTACATGCTATCTTATTTACTAAGACCACTTTTTAAATATTTAATATTTATTTAAATAAAAACAAAAAATATTTAAATCATTCATAAATAAAATAGTCATCCCATTCATTATATAGATAATTAATAAAATAAATATATTTTATACTATAACTAAAGATTCAAGTCTTAGAGGTTAATGCAGGAAGATAATCCATTAAATAGCCCAAGTTCAATGTACTCATAAAATGTGGAGCCTCTACCATTATTTAAACAAAAAAATTATTGAAATTATCAAACAATATAAATTATCATTTATTTTCATTTTAATCATTTTCTCCATCAAATTTATAATTGAAATTTTATTAGAAGCAAGCATAATCAATATTTTTAATATAAGATAATTGACTTCAATACTTTATAAATAAATTATATTTACAAGTTATTTAGATATAAGGTAGTTATTTTAGGGCATGCTGCTAGATATTAAAAAATTCGTGAAAAATTTTCTTTATCTAAGCTGTTTTCCCTTTTATATATTTATTTATTTAATTAGTAAGTAAGTAAATATTTATTTAATAATAATTTAAGCTAATCTAAAAAGATTCCAAATTATTAACAAAACTTACTGCAGATCCTAGTTAATTAATTTATACCTAACCAATTAACTCTCAATCTTTTTGAGAATTTGTTTATGATTTTGAAAAATAATGTTTATTTCTCTTGGATAATAATTTTCGAGGATCTGCAGTAATGGTTTTGAATTTAAATTAATAGTGACTTTTTAAAAATTTAAGTCAACTAATAAAATTAATAAAGATTTAATAAATTTCAAAAAATAAAGAAATTAAACCCAATAAAGAGCTCCAAGGAAGTAAGATTACAAAATCCAGAACCGAAATCTAAAGTACCTTAACCAAAACTGTTTTTCCTTATTTTATATTTTTTATAAAATTATAAAATTAATTCAGAAAACTTGTTGCTTATCAGTTTGTTTATTTTTATTAGAAAAACAATAGATAATTAATTAAGTAAATAACTTATGTCATTTATTAATTTTACTAGAGCTAAAGAAATAGGGATGTCAGATTAACACAATTAACTAAACTAGAAACAAAGCTTGATACTCCATTTAATCCAAATTTATTATTTCTAAATATACAAAAAAATTAAGAAAAACATTTCTAAAAGATATAAAAATTTTTAATAAATCACTATAAGCTGATAGATAACCTAGAAAGATTTATAAGACTAGCTAAGCTAGTTCCTATGACTGATAAAATAGTATCGTCACTTAATTTATTGTTGCTTTAAAAATTAAAAAAAAATATTTAAAATAATCATAAAAGCTTAAAATAAAAATAAAAATGCTATTTTTACCTTAAGTCTATCGTTAATTAGGTAAGACTATTGCATTATCCTATAGCGAAGCCTAAGCTGTACAGATATTTTGGATTTATTTATTTAACATTGCTTTTGAAAATATAAATAAAAAGTAAATTTATAGAATGAAGGATTAATCCAATTATTCATAAAAGCAAGTGAGCTTTTATTAAAAAAATATAATTATGTTGAAAAGAAATAACTTAAATTTTAGTTTATAATAATATTTTATTACTTCAAATTAATGGTGACTATAGAGAGGTTAGTACAACTTACAAACCCAATACCTAAATTCTAAAATAAGCTACTATCTATATTCTTGCTATTGCTGTTAAGAAAATATATTTTTAATATTTTTTAGATATAACTAATAGATAAATTATATTAATTATTAACAAAAAATAGCTGAATAAAATAACATTTTCTGTTTAGAAATATATTCCACCTTTTATCATTTTTAGAAAATTTTGAATTTGAATAATTTTATTATAATTTTTTTTAATTAACATTAAAAGGCAAATCAATTTAACTAAGAAAATTTTTCACAAATTAGTTTTTACTTAAAATTAATTGAAAATTGTGCAAGTTTAGTGCAAGTTGCTAAGGCATGTCCTAAACATGAGAAAATATTCTCACCAATAGTTTTGCATTATTTGAAATTCAATATCAAAGATTAAAGATTTATGCAATTTTATAAGCTTTAACTTACTATCTATACCTCTTCATTACTAACTTTTTTTCCACTAAAAGAATTGAAAATAATTATTTGTTATAAACTAAATGAATTTTAAAAATGTTTACTTCATAGATATCTAAAGTCTATTTTAAGTTGATAAAAAGGAATTTTCAGGCTTTTTATTAAAAAATTCAGTTATTATCATTAATAATTTATTTTAAAATTACAATTGGAAGATCTTAGTAATTTACTATATTTTCACTCATATTTTTCTGTATCTTTTTTGAATTAATTTAAATAATTTGCTTTATAAAAATTTTGACATTTATTAGCCTTTATATCTCAAAAATTCTTTTACATTCTATAAAATTAATGAGAACAAATAATAAATTAAATTATTAAATTTTTCATATTTTTGTACTTCATTCTCCTCATTTATTAGTGTTAGACAAATATAAATAAGTAAATAAATATAAAGTTAGTACATATTTAGTTAAAGCACTTTGCAATACTAAAAATAATATTTAGAAATAAACATAATTAATTAATTAAATTAAAGATTATGTGTATATTTATATTTATAATTTATTTTCTGATAAATTTTGAAATATTAAATGGAAAATAGTTTTTAAGAATGTCATCAAAATGGGAGGGGTTTTGGATAGGGGGAATTTAAAAAGTCCAGAAATTTCAGGGGGATTATATCTATAAAATATAAATGTTTAGAAAAAATATTTTTATAGGATCACCCACCAATTTATTATAATAGAACTTAATACCAAACAAATTTTTATTAAATTAATAATTTTTTATTTATGCTGTGTTAAGATAAAGATAGAACTTTAGTTCATTCTTAAACTATAAATTTGCTTTTTCAATTAATATTTTCTTTTAAAATGTGTAAGCAAAAACATAAAATAAAATTTATTATAAAATTAAAATTTAATATTTAAAATTATATATTCAAACAAACTATTATTTACTTAGCTAATCTCCTTAATTTCAAAACCAGAATTAAATTCTTGCTTTTCCACTTCCACAAGAATTTATAAATAACTTGGAAGTACTTTAATAAAATTTGATCAAGTTTGTTGACTTAAATTTTACTATATATTAATTTAATTAAAAATTTTTAAAGTTTTTTTGAAATCCAAATTTAGTAAAATAATTTAAAGTATTTTTAAGTTTTAAATTTTTATTTGAATACAAAAATAAATAAAAAAACATGTTTGTTTATTTTATATTATTTATTTACTTATTTATTTAAATATTTGAACAAAAATCTAGAACAAAAAAATAGCTTTGAAAGTAAAATATCAGTTTTGAAATAAATAATAAAATTATTTGATTATTAAATATATAAAAAAAAACATCAGTCATTCCATTTAAAATTTATGGTAATATATTAATTAGAATATATGAAGTTCCTTCCAAGTAAATTCATTAAATTTATGAATTAAATACAAGAAATAGTGAATTAAAAGTACATCTATTTGATATTTATAAAAGCTAAACAATAAATAATATATATATTTCAATATCTCTTTAATTTTTTCATTTAAGTTAATAAGATAATATAGATTGATTGATTTATTAATTAATTAGTTTTGAATAAGTAATAAGTATTATTAAAACTCATAAGAAGAGATTAATATAATATTCAATGGTCTTCTTTATAAGAAAACTTGGAATCTAAAAATAGTTATTTTATATTACATAATAAGTTTAAAAGCTAAGATATCTTGTAATAGATTACTGAAATATCTCTAAGTAAATAAGAAGCAGTAGCTTTACAAAAAAGCTCGAAGAAACCAAAAATTGATCAAGTGAATCATTAATGAGTATTAAATGCATTTATTAATTTTAAATCTAACTTTTAAACAATTATTCATTAAAAAGTAAAAAGGCGTTCTTAAAATTGCATAGCTAATATTCAATCATACTAAATACTTCATAGAAGTTTTTGAATTTAGAAGAATAGTTTTAAAAATAGCTGATAGACTACTAAGTCAGATTAAATCTTATTCAGAATTTATATTCTTGATCAGATAAATGCATAATCAATAAAATAGTCCTAATAAATGACCTTAATTAGCAATTAGATTTAGCAAAGAATTATTAGCCTATCTATCTAAAAGTGATAAGAACATTCTTGAAATCTAGTTTTTTATTTTAAAATATCAGAATATTATTAACGCCGATAAAATTAGAAGATAAAGTATGCTTTTATAAAGGACTTATTTAAAGCATATAGACAATGTCTATTAATTATAAAAAAGTCAAGAGAAATCCACTAAAAAATGTATCAAATAATCTCTATATTTGCTTCTGAATGTAATTTTGAATAACTCTACTTAGCATTAAAGAGATTAAACATGGCACTCAACATATTTTACTTGGAATAATTAA